GGTTAAATTGGATGTGAAAAAAGAAAGACTCTATATTGTTATTTATAAATGATATACTGTATGTATATTTCAATATATTGATGCACTAGTGATATATAAGTGGCAAATACAGGGAGACAATATTGTGAGGAAGACTATGGAGCTAATGGATTACGACCCGACGGGGTCAAACACCAATTGGAGTGGTTTCGTCGCTTCTCCTCCTCCAGAATCTCCACTTCCATAATTTCCATACAAAAACAAAACACCCTTCTTTTTTTTTTTAAACAAAATGGTTTGATTTATGATACTTTTGTAATAAATAACAAGATGTAATTTGAATACTTTAAACTTCTATATTTTAAGGTTTGCATGCTCTCTTCTTAGTGGTGGAAACTATGAGGTCAACTTTTAACATTATTGTTTTGGTTTAAGAGCAACTCTTCTTACCAGAGTAATCTTTTTAAGCCAACGATCTAACGAATTAAGCTAAACCAGCAGTGCTTAAAAAGGCTCATGGTCTAAAGAGATCACATAAGCTACAACTCTAGATTCAAAGTAGAGATCACATAATGCTAAACCATCCAAAATTTTCATGTTTAAAACAAAAAATCTACTGATCATTTCACCAGTGAGTTGTACAAGAAACGAAATGTCAAAACATCAAGAAAGTGGAACAACAATACACACATCTTGGTTTCTTGTAGTTGAGTGTTGATAAAGTAAACAAGAAAGTATATATGTTTTTGCGAACCTTGAGCTGTGAAATCAAGCTCAAATCAGGTCTAATTAATCAAGTCTAGTAGTATCAACAACAGTGCAAGGCTGATTCTTGAGGTATTAATCATTTACCATTTGTACTTAAACCCTAATCTTCATATTGGCTTATCATCCAATCAAGCTCACTCTTTGGGAGCTCTTTCAACTGCTCAGCCACTCCTCTCTCGACAACAAAATTGATTCTCCACAACACAACCTTACTCTCCATTTTCATGCCTTTGATTTCATATAGTTTCCAAAGCATACCCTTTGCGAATTTGTATTCGCTCGTACTGAACCATTGCAAATGTTTCTTCACAATGATTTCCACATCTCTGAAAGCTCTCCTCACAAGTCCAACTTCCATTCCTCTTTCCACCAGCTCTCTCACTGAATCTATCATCTTATACGCAACCTCCTTAACAGATTCAGCGCGACTCTTGATCTTTATCAAGTGAATAATCGCACAGAACGCACCCGCAAACGCCAAAACCCATCCACTGTTATCTACCAATACCTCACTTGGAGGAGGGTTTAGCCTTGCCCTTATCTCTGGGAGAAGATTATCCATCACAGGAATCACAAACTCTTCCCCGTCAAGCGGCATTGTTAAGCAACGGAAGATATAAACCGCTCTCTGAAACTCTGTTTTGCTTTGCGATGCAATATAATCGCGTAGACCAAACCATGGCTCTTTTTGGACGAACATCATCTCAAACGCAACATGGTACACAATCTCACCAAGGATTTTGAACATGCTCTCTGAGATTCCTTGTTTCGAAAGGCAAGAGACGAGCAATGTCTGGAGTTCTCTCATCACAGAAACATCAGTTTTCGCTTTCTTCGGATTCTGATCAGACAATAAGAGGTTGAGCCGTCTGATTGCCATATCTTTGTACCTATCTTCCTGGTCATCCGACGCAAAGATTCTTACGATTCCAAGCAACGATAAGGTGTTCAATCGTTCGAAACGGACACGATCAGGATCTTGATTCCCCTGTGGATTGTTGATATCAAGAACCAACCGATTGATCTTCTTCGCAGCCTCCTTGATCGTTGTTCTGAGTTCTCTAATCCCGTACATGAAAGTCGACACAAAGAGGCACTGATTCTTACTGTAACCATACAGATCCTTGTCTCTTGACAAGAACTTCTCGAGATCCTCAAGCCCTTGTACCACAAACTCTTCCATTCCCATCTTCACTAACTCATTCACTATCTTCACAAGCTTTGACAAAAGAGTCTTTACCAAATTCAATCTCGTTTCTGAATCCAAAATCTGAATACCCATTTTCACTAGAGTCTCTAAACCCAAACTCCAATCTTCAACATCATCAGTATTATTAAGCAACACTTTCTCTGCTTCCTCAATGATTCTCTGCAAAAACCTGTCGATGAATCTCTGATAAACTCGTGGCAATTCGACGAACACATGAAAGGCCTTTAAAGGTTGGGTTTCTGCAAAAGAAAGGATACAATCACTGAGCTCATCCCAACCACCGTTATCTAACGAGACAACATCGTAAGCAACAAAAGACACGATTTTTCGAAGGATCTTCATTTCGGATTCTTCGGTTTCTGGCATCTCCAAGCATGAAATCAAAAGGGGTTTGATATCTTTGAGAGCGACGAGTGAGAGTTGGGTTTTGCGGGTTCGGAATTCGTCGAGGGTTGAAGAAAGGAGATGGATCGATTGTAATCTGGTGAATTCGTTGGAAGAAGATCGATAGACTTTGAGAAGCATTTGGGTTAAGCAATTTGGGAAATTTGAAGCGCAGAAATTGAAAAGAGCAAGAGAGGATTGGAATTCGATGGATTCTTGTGGCTTAGCGAGTTGATTAAGCAGAATCTCGAATCTTTCGTGGCTTGGAGTTGCAAGAAGATCTCTGGCTTTCGATACGAGAGTCGAAGATTCCGCCATTGATGCAGCTTCTGCAAC